AAAACCCCAAAACCCCAAAACCCCAAAACCCAGAATGGAATATAGATAATAAATTATGCAAATAGTATAAGTTTATAATTCAAAATGCACAATCAAACTTAATCTAATTTTTCAGATTTCTTGAAACCGAATTAAGCTGATAATGATCACTACAAATTATCTTTTGGCTAAGGGGAAATCTAGGAATCACCTCCTAAAATTATTGATACTCTAGAAAGTCAATAAGAAGAGAGCTACCAACTAAAACTAACACTTAAAAGAAGTGATACTCGTTGGTAGGATAAAAGTAATATTGATGGAAGTGGGAAGTACTTTTACAACTAGAATGAGGAATAAATTTTTAAAAACCAAAGCACTCTTTAAAAAATGGACACTTCCCCTTTCAATTTCTTACAGAGAAAGAACACATTTGTTGATGGAATTTCTAAAGGATCATTTAGTCTGGATGAAGTTGACAATGAGCTGATCGCTTAAATTTAAGAGTATTAGAGTAATAATGAAGAATTAACTGAGGATCAAAGAGAAAGATGTGAATAGTTCTTAAAGAACAATCCCTAATTCGAGAAGCTGTTTGTAAATACTTCAGACCCTAATTAGTGGAAGGCAGTTATAAACTTTTTAAGCTAAAACCCTCCTATAGTTTAAAAACTATTATCTCAGAATTCTTCTACTTTATCTAATCTAGAATTAGGACTTAGAGGCATAAACAACTAAAGACACAAATCATAACTAAGAGATTCAAAAGAAAGTAGTTTTGTAACTGAAACTGATGAAAGCTTCTTGTCAGATTTCTCAGATACACCGAAAGAGGGACAAAGGCACACTAGATCAGCATCAATGAATTAGGTAAGCGCCAAAAAAAGCAAATTCGCTAAAGATGCAGTTGAAAGGTAAAAAAGCATGAAAACTATAAGGAAGTAAACATTTATACTCACAGCAGATGGAATAAAAACTTATCAGTAAAAAGTGGAAGCCAGAAGACAGAAATAAGAAACTGAAAGAGTAAAAAATGTTAAAATGCTACATGAGGCAATGGCAAAGGTGTTTGTTGAAAATTTAAACTACATTCATGAGAATAATTATATCAAATTCTAAACTCCAATAAAGATAAGGCTTCAGCATCGTAAGAAAGAAAACATTCTTAATTTTATCCAAGATTGGTCTAAAGTGCCACTATTCAGCAAAGTTGCTCATGGAAGATTAAAATTATCTTCTGAATAAAAAATGCTACAGGAAATTGATCTCTTCAACAAGTATATTTACATGAAAGGGTTTGAGAAGACATAGCTTCTACGTGGTCTTGAAATTAAACTCCATGACTTTGTAAAATCAGTAAAGTATGAGTTAGGAATGAATAAACTTCAATACTAAGTGAACTTGAATGTTGGTTAAATACCTGAAGTAGAGCATAACAGAGGATAGTCTCTTGGTAGTATTGTTTCATCAGCAATTAAGAGCACCAAGGAAAGTGAATAAGCTAAGATTGATATGATTAGACAGAGAGATAGAAAGATTAATTCTTGGATGATAAATAGCACAATCTATGACATGTGTATGGATTTAATGATGTGCAAGAAGTTGTTCCGATTCAGGACAACAATGATACTTATATTTCAAAAGCTAATAGAGAAAGATTAATAGGAATGTAATTTCTGTGACCTTTAAGATCAATATAAAAATAATTAGAACACCTATGCAATGAAATATCTTGGGGATAGTCTCAAAAGAGTAATCAATGTAAATATGAAGTTAAAGAATTTGATATTGTATGAATACAGGCCATAAGCAAGAGAATTCTTTACTAGCCATAGATTCCATTTTGCTATGGATCCTAGTGAGAATTATAGTGATTTCATTGATAAACTAACTGCTGATATAGATTTCTGGAAGACTCAATAGAATTTATGATTAATATATACAATTATCGGTTGAGAGTTGTAGCTTTTGAATGATTTTAATTAATATATTGCAATGAGTCTTATAAGTTAAATTTAGTTAGCAGGGGTTTTGGGGTTTTGGGGAGATCGGAAGAGCACAC